CACTAATAGTGGATGTACCTGTGACATATGTCTGAGGTCAAAAGATGATAGTATGGAGGAATAATACGAAATGTTCATTTTAAAAAGCTTGAAAATGACCTCTTCAAAATTAGTCCAGTATTTTATTACAAAACATCCTTCTGTACAAAATCTGATTATTAGAGCAGTATGTACAGTCTTTGTGGGATACATTGATATGAGATTCATCAGATCTGAATCAGTTGCTGAGGAAGAATAAGTCTACGAAAATCGTTCGAAAATAAACTGATCACCCTGTATTATTAAATCAATCTTTGATTTTGGTTTTTGTTTTTGTTTTATTTTTTCTCAGCATCACCAAATGAATATTTATTTGTTACAATAGAAAAAGAAATTCCTTCAATGTCAATGGAATTACATGACTCATCAATAAGTGCACCATGGCATGCAATTACAAATTTAAATTTAGTAGTTGAAATTGATTTTGATTATCAAGGTAAGAAAATATTCTGTTATTTCTTGTCTCTATCTAGTTCATATATGAATTTATTCAAAGTGAGATTTTCATGCACAAAATATTTTTTCATTTGATATGGATGATTCAAATTCACAGGCTTAACAATTATTACAATCAAATATTATTAGTAAGAGAAAAGGTTGAATCAATACTTCAAAAAACTTTTCTTTTAATAAAAAAAAAAGTCGATCACAATCAGTCGATATACCATATGATTAAATATCTAATCATTTATATTGAACAGATGAAACACATGAACGAATAATTTCTGCAAGAAATAATTATTAAGAAAGATAAATTATTGCAGCAGTTAGTTCATATTCACAAACAAGTATTATTCATCCTTGCAAAGGGTTAATTATCATATTTACAAGAACAAGAAAAAAAGATCATTTTCTTTTCATTAAATATAGATTATTATTTTGGTCTGGTGTTGATGTATATACATCAATTCATCGTTCGACATTAACAAGAAGACAAGTAACTTATGTAATAACGACTAATATTAGATAGTTAAATGGATTAACAATTAATTTTGATGGTGATCAGATTTATTGGATTGATATATGTGAATGTAAATATCTTTTAGGTCTTATAGAATATCGATTGAGAAAGTTTTAAGAGAAATCTTATTTAAACATTATTCATAATAATTAAAGTTTATTTTGAAGTTGAATATCGCTGGTTAATAGAAAATATTCTTGACGAAAATCTTATAAATAGCTTATGAATATTAAATTTATCAATCGTATTGAATGAGAGTCTCATTAAATGGTACAAATCGAAAAAGTTAATTCAAGTATTTATTTATCCATTTGCAATTATTATTCATGGACATTATATTTACTGAATTGATTGATCTCTATGTAAGTTGTTTGATTAAAAGAATTTTTCTAAAATATTCTCTTTTTTTTTTTAAGATGAAATTTACCGTACAGAAAAATATTCTAGTGTTAATATGATTGAAATGTAAAATGATCTTTCATATCGTTGAATAAATATCCATATTGTTTCTGATCAACATCAAAAATGTTCATATTGACCATGTAATATAAGTAATAATAGATATTATCATATATGTAAAATAGCATCTAATAATCAAATTGAATATGCTTGTTCAAATAGACAACAATTAAAATTAGCAAATAATCGACAAATATGTGTGTTCGTAAATGATATA